AGACGGCCTCACAATCAGAAAGAATCTTTCGATATTTAAAATTCAATATCTCTAATTAAATCTTGCGAGCAAAGATTCTTAAACCGGATTTGGATTAAAATTTAAAGCGCAATTATTCGTATTTTAAATAATTGTAAAAAATGATAATTTATATCGTGAAACGGGCATAAATCGTTCTGATAACGCGAGGCATTATTTTGTGCTTGTATAAAGACTGAATGCGAGCCTCGGCTACGCCTCGGCTAATTGATCGTTGAGAGCATCCCCTAACTGGAAGCAACCCCGGACCGTTTCGCCCGTTTCAGATAGAGACAAGCGCTTCTTTGTTTTCGAACGTGGAATTCCAGCACCGCAAAGCGCCCCTCGAGGGCTTCACGGGTTTAAACCGGAAAACGCGCGATTCGAGGATTGCCGCTGCAGGTGGGCGGCCGTTCGTAAAGCTAAACTTCATTTACTTCAACACCCGCCCGCAGAGCCTGCAACCACTCACGAGACGGCTCAATCAAATTAGAAGAGCGTTCAAAGTATCAGGCATCCGCTCTCCCTCGGAATAGATTCGATTTCTCGAGACCGATTGCGAGCGTAATGGGACTTATAATTATCGATTTGAGTCGTAAATAACTTTCGAGGGCGATAATATATTTTTTCTGAACGCACATAAATGACTCGGTCACGTTAATAATTTATACTTTCCGTCAATAAATAAGTATCTCTTTTTTCTCAGATCAGAAAATGACTGTGAAAATGACCATCAGTCACGTTGATGAAACAAATAAGTATTCGTTATTTATAACTCAATCTCACCACAGTTTATCACAGCGCTGCTACTTCCAATTAATTCTCAGCCCATAATATTTTCATCATAACTTTGGATAACTTTGGTCTAACGAACATTAATTTTTCCAAGTAATTGCCTAAAACGGAAAAGCAATTGAAAATTATGATTTTTAATCTGAAATTTTTCTAAAAGCATGTACATAATAAGCAGAAATGTAAAGTCGAAAAAAGGATGGAATTATTTATTAAACTGTTTTGAATACAGAACGTATTTTGGGACATTAATTGAATAGCAAACTCACGAAGTGATGAATAAACTGAAATGATTAGTCAGGCAATCTATTAATATAAGAATAATGAAAGAGTAATGATTATTGAGGTTTTCTGAAGTTGTAGTCTCACGTCAGAGACTTACTAGGGGTCACATACAAGTCAATATAAATTCATGTTATCGTATAAATCGTGAATATTTTCATCATTCATCGCGCACCCGCGCGTTCTTTCTAATAATCGGCTCGCCGGATCGTAAATTAGTAAATGGATCCTGCAATTTTAACGCACACTCTCCGTGCATGTCCACAGGCATTATTTCCTCCGCATTTTTTTTTTTTTTTTTTTTTTTTTTTTTTTTTTTTTTTTTTTTTTTTTTTTTTTTTCCGTGCATGTCCACAGGCATTATTTCCTCCGCATTTTTTTTTGACCGACGACGGACGCGACGTTTCGTTAACTATACAAACGTGGAAAATTCGAAGCCGCGAGGAGGAAATTTTGCGCGAATGCGACTCGTGCTTGCCGGTGATTATTTCGCGACAATGACAAACTGGAATATTCACGAACGTGGCAAATGATAAATAAAAAAAGGAACTAAGCTTAATTTTTTAGGCACATGCTCGTGGAAACATATCGTCATTTTATGGTGAATAAAATGTAAGAGAGAGATTGCTTATATATATATTTAAAATTAATGTCAAACAAGATGGACATAAATTATAATTACAATATTACATTATGCAAATTTATTATTAATTATTAGAATATCAATATAAAATAAAAATGTTGTAAATTAAAAATAATTGATTTTTATTTGCTTTTATTGAATGAATACTTTTATAAAGAAGGTTTATTAATTTTTTAATTTAATTTACATTTTTCTACGCTGATGTGATAAAAAGTAAAAATTAAAATGCGAGCGAAGCTGGAACTTCGCACGGTATCGCCGCTCCAAATGGACCGTGATTAGTCGGTTCGTCGTGTGTGCACACATCCCCTTCGGGGACCGCAGCAATTTCTTCCATTCATTAGAGCCACCCCATAGTGGGCAACGTGCCACATATGCGAGCGAACAAGCAACGCGGCCGAGATAACCGGAAATGGCGTTTGGGAATCGCGTGGAATTGCGGCTTGTTTACACATTCTCGTTAACCCCGGAAGCTCGTGCGGAATTCTTAAATTGCAGCAAAATTCTGCGCCACGTATATAAAATCGGATTAATAGAAAAAAAAAAGTATAGAAAATCAGATTACGTAAGACGAAGACGAGTTCCCTTCATTAAGATACGAAGATACGTTGAGCAACGACGGAATTTTGATTTATCATGATTGAATCTGTTCCCTCGACCCTTGCAGGATCCTTGTAATCTTGTGAGTAATGTGATTCAATTATTATTCTTAATGATTAAAAAATATGTTTTGTAACAATTTAATATAAATCAAATGTTATTTATGTATAATATTTAAAAAAATTTTCTTATTAAAACGATAATTAAAAATTAGAAATATTAAAGACAAAAACTATAGAAATTATTGAAGAGAAGAAATATAAAAAGTAATAAGAAATATAAAAAGTTTGAAATATTCTACATAGTTAAAAATTTGTGTTAAATTTTCAACATATATTGCATGTGTCCCTAACGGCCTACATAAATGTTTGTATTAATTTAATATGGATAAATCGTGACACTAATACTAAATTAATATTTCAACACAATAAGAATTCAAACTTCATATTAATTCGAAATAAATTTTGTGTAAAATCAACATATATATTTTTAATGATAAAATTGACTTAGAAAAAAAAATCATTGACAGTCTGTAGTCAATCTCACTCCTATTTTAGAATAAAATCAACATTTTTTTCTATAAGTTTTAACAGATAAATTCTGTCATTAATAATACGGAACATATCTATTGTGTAAAATTAAAAATATGTGCATATTGTGTTATTTTTACACTCTTTTCAGTTGTTTTATAATAATTCATGATTTGAGTTCAATTAAACACAACAGCAATATGTTAAATTAATTAACACAAAAATTTTAATCGGCGTATTTTTCAAGAAAACATAAATTGTCCAACTGTGTATAATTTCTTTTCAATTTAATTTTATTCAAATCAATATGACATTTCTCAAGTCGAGCGAACCAGTTCCTCGTTCATCGAAAACGTAAGAATCTTGGCTTTTCGATTTCGTGCGATTTTTCCCGCAATGATATCGGTGATAACAGATATCGGTCACGATTTCGATCGCGGGACTAAGGCAGTGGCAAGGCCGCCGCGCAGTCGCGCGATTCTCCTTCCTTCGCTCTGTCACTCTCTCTCTTTCTCTCTTTGTCATTCTCCTTCCTTATCGCACACGTGTCTCGCCGCGATAAACTGCCGCGTCAGGCAGCGGCGCATCGTACTACGTCGCGTAGTAGGCCGTAGTACGCGACCTTCCCCCTCTCCCGCCATTCATTCATGAATGACGAAGCGCGGCGCAACTTTTCGCGCCGCTACAATCTGCCGGGAAATCGACGTAGAGGGACAAAGAGCGGCCTCGTCGCTCTTGCGCGCGTTCGCGCCTATCTCTCTGCCCTCAAAATAACGCGTATACGTACGCGCGTAGCGTATAAAGGGAACAATGTAGCGTGTACGAGACACGCCGGAATTGCTAGATAAGTTTCTTCGAAGCGCTCGGAAGAGAGAGAGAGAGAGAGAGAGAGAAACAGGCGCGCAAACTCAAGAACAGTTATTCTCCTCTCGTATCGACAACCGCAGCAAAAAATAGAAAATAATCGAGCTGTCTCCTCCCTTTTGCACATTTTCAGATACTATTCGCCGGGTACCGCAGCGTATTCGACAAAGTTAAATATTGTGCAATATATTATATATAAACTAGCACATGTATAGGGGATGGGTTGGTTGTAACATTTTTTAAAGAGAATTATTTCCTGTATTTTGTGTATTAAGATTTTATTTACTTTATTAGGTTATTAAAGTATTATATTCTGGTTTCGAAATTGTAATATTTCATTTATATATAATGTTTATCATTATTACTCTTATATTTATTGATAATTTTTACAATTATATAGTAACTAGTCAGTCACTAATCCGTCTCAAATTTAGGAACGGTAATATAACGTTAATAGCAAAAATAAGAATTAAAAAAGAAAACAAAAATAAACATTCCTTTCTCAACAATTTGAGATCAACACAAATTTTTATTTTTAATTTTGGAATTTAATAGGATACTTATTTTCCTTTATCTCAAATATGATCACATTCCGATGATTTAACGTATATAATTATTAGATATATAATATAATTATTTACGTATATATATATTACTTTTTATTCCGACTCCCAAAAATTCAACATTCAAAATAAAATAAAAAAATATTGTGTGAACGAATTGCTTAAAATCATGATATTTATACAAAAAATGCATATTAACTTTCTCATATAACATAAACTATTTGTTACAGCAATTTTATTAACAGTTCAAGATAAAAAAAAATTAAAATTTATTAACTACAATTTTTGACCAACAATAAATGACAAATATACATAGTTCGAGTCGAGACGATTTTATCTTTTCCTAAGAAGCTATCCTACTTCGTTTGGAACGCACACATTGATTTGGGCGTGTTCCTATCAACCCCCGTTACTGCCAGCCCCAGTCTCCCCTACTTATTACTGCAAAAATTCTCGCCTTTCTCCTACGATCGCCTTGTTTCGCAAACGGTCTCATATCTGTTAAAGTCTATTTCTAAAGTATCATACGCCCCATATACCCGTATGCTGTAATACAGTTCGAACACTACATACACACAACCGTCGAGGGATCTCCGCCCCGTATGATCGTCTGAAAGAGATACCTGACATTCTATTAAACTCGTTGAGGCGTGGGAAACTCACCCTAAGAAAACACACTGTACTGTATGCATGCCCCCCTCTTCGCAGACGGTGCTGGCACGCCGTTAAACGGCGCCGTTAATTCCGAGGCCCGCTGGTCGTCCGACGCCGTGGAGATCCGTGAGACCTCGGTAGCGGGTAAACACGCCGTCGCAGCCACGGAGATACATCCGGGCGATACTCTGATAGTCGAGCCACCGCTGGCGGGCTGCCTCCTACCCGAGTTCTACGGCACCCATTGTCAGCATTGTTACGCGAGGTGAGGAGAAAATTGCCGCCTCCGGTCTCTCCCGAATTTAATGGGCATGATCCTTAGACGGCGGCGGCACCCGCCGTAATCCTCCGTGTGTTAGCTTCCGCTCTGTCTACAGCACCCGGCCCGTGGTTAAGCCCCAGCCGTCACGTTATTCGCGGCTTTTTACGGATAAACTCTCTCGCTGGCGAGAAAGAGAAAATGGATTTCATTAACCCAAGCTAGGGGCGACTAGTGTGCGGACGGAAACTCCCGTTATTATGGGAACCTGTAAACCGCATGCTAACCAGGCTACAAAAAATCTCGAAACAGCATGAATGTTTAAAGATATTTATTATAAAAGATATAAAAGAAGCCGCTTGATTTTCCAGAGACGTCATTTTAGATATTCTTTTAAATATCTTGGTATTTTAATTCCTCTTTTTAGAACATGCATTTTAGATTCACTTTTTGCTAGGGTTGCACAAGATATCAAGACAATAGAAAAAACTAAGATTGTCAAGATTATTGGTTTTTAAAAAAAGATAAAATATGTGTGTGTGTGTGTAAATTAGATGAAAAAAATCGCTGTATTATACAAACTTAAAAAAATTTAGTTAATAAATAAATAAATAATTTATTTAATAAATAAATAA